GTTTTTTTTTTTTTTGTTTAGATTTATTTATTTTTATACACGAGCTAGGGTACAGGCCAGAGGTGTGGGACAATGAGAGGATTCACCAGAGACAGAGCGGGGAGCAGAACAGGCAGACAATGGAAACACACTGCTAAGGGGAGCAGCGGGTGCGACAGAAGAGGTCTACCACGCCATGTGGGAATCTCCCTGGCCACCGGGAATTGAACCTGCGCTGCAGAGGCTGTGGACAGCTTCACAGCGCTATGCTCAAACTGCTGCTCCACCAGGAAGGCCCAGGTCTTTGAAATAGTTACATTAAAAAGTAAATAGAAAAACAAAGAGCCCACTTTTCTGCTCATAGCTTACACAAAAATAGACAGTAAACCTCTCTGAGGTATAAATGCATCAAATAATGAAAAATAATAAAGTTCATCATCTTACCTAAAAATATAACTTATACTGAGGTAAGATCTAAGTACTAAAGGAAGTCTGATTCACCAATCACTTATACTGTTCTCTTCAAAACTATAATATATATTAATTAGTATCAACCTTTGAAAAGTAGAAAGGATAATGGACCATAATGACTTTGGGCCCAGAGTCAAGTCCTACAGTCTCAGCATGCTATGATTCCTAAATAATGAAGTCAAGCCTGCCAAAGTATTATGCCAGGATCTGGATAATAAGTGGAAAAGCAAGAAGAAAAAGGATAAGTCACAGTCTTCTAGCATTAAAAGGGCTCTACAAAAACTAGTAGCATTTATGCAGAAAGGTCTCATAATATCAAAAATGCTTCTCATCTTCATCAATTATTTCATCATATCAATCCATCTTGACTACTAAATGAAGTTTCTAAAGACCATATTTTTACAGATTATATAAATCTCTGTCTCTTTAAAAATTATCTTATAAATGTTTTGTCTGAAAGCTCATTGTTTTAACTCTAAAAGAAGCTGGAGAAACAGGGAACAAGATAAGTATAAATTGAACAGTATGGGTGACAGCTCTAATAGGAATTTGTGTACTCAAAATGTAAACCACCAAAAGAATACTTACTTTCCAGATCAGGGAGGGTAAAAGTATAAGTATGTTATAAATATACACGATTACCTCAACGTGGAAGATTACATTCAGTGAAACTAACTATGGATTTTTCTCTCATTGAAAGATTTTAAACAATAAAAGTTGTTTTGATGATGTGAGGGTTATGTTGATTAATCTGTCTAAGGAATTAACTTTGTTTTAATTTTAATTTCTTCTTCACTTTCATTGACATAATTAAGTTTAAATACACATACGGCCTAAAAAAATATTTCCATGTTAATCTTCAGTGCTGAATTTCAGAGATTAACATAGACCACAAAATTGTCTGTAATTTACATGAATACAGATAAGTTTTTTCAATGCAATTAATCTCTTTAGGACAATAAATCATGGTGAGAAAAGATATCTGGAAAACTTTGGATTGGAAAAGGTTAAGTAATATTTTGAAGGAAGAAAGAAGTTTAAATTTATTCTGAGCTCCCTGAAACATTGGGAATAGATATTTTTAAATTAACTTTATCCAAAAGAAAATCCTACTTTAATTATACCAGAAATTCTTGACAGAAGTGCCAGATACAAATGAGATTTTCTTCTGCTAAGTCTACATAAATCTCTTTAAAGACTTATCTAACAGTCTATTAAAAACCATATCAGAACATTGATATAAAAATCCTTGATCATTCTTAAAAAATATCTGGGTCATATTCCTCTACTAGAATTTGTCTAGAAAACATCAATGGTACAGAAACTGTGAACTGAAAAGTAAGAGGAGTTAGCACTTTAAAAGATAGACTATTATATCTAGCTTTAGGAAAACTGAAACTACTAATACATGCCACTAACTGCCAAACATACAGAAAAATACAAGAAAAAGGAGGTGCAGAAAAAGGTCCAGGTCTTATTGTTAATCACTACAATCACAAATGATCAAATAATAGACTAAAACAAACTTTATTATTATAGGTTAATCAAAAGAAAGTATTTCCATCTCTGCAAATGTCACCTTTAATATATCACTTTCTGTTCATCTGTTTATTTTATAAGGAAATTAGCTTCCTCCCTACATCATAATGTTGCTGTGATAATAAAATATAAGCTGTGAAAATAATTTGCAAAGTTAGAAGTCTTTAAAAATGCAAATGAAGATCTCCTAATTATTACATATATGATAAATCAATTCAATTGTCACAAAGGAAAATAACAGTAAGTGAAGAATAAGAAAATGACTTACAAGCTATAGGGAGAAAATGTTTTAATGAGATTTTACTGGGAGTAAAAATAAATAACTTTGGATTTAATAAGTCAAATTAAAATTACTCAATGAGCAGGAATCTTTTCACTAATGATGAAAAGGAATCTAAGGTAGCAATAATCAACACAAATATCTATATATCATATTTTTCTAACCTTTACTAACTCTCAGCTGACATCTTCTGAACAACAGTTTGCAGAGTGTTCTACACTGAAAATGGGACATTCAAGTTGGGTTACTTTGGAGTCAGAAAGATACAGACTAATTAGAAGAGCAGAAAAAATACTAAAAAGCTCTTTGGGGTATCAAGACTTCCATTGAACTACTTCCATTTATAAGGATGTAATTTGCTTTAAAAGGCTAGATTTAACACGGTTAACAACCTTCAGGTATTTTCCAGAATTGAGCTCAGGCAACAGGGTTCTATTAGGGGCAGGACGCATAAATTTAGCCAATAAAACTGAGCTAAGGTGATAAAATAAACACAGGGTTTTAGTCTAATTTATAGGAGACGGTTTCCTGCCAGGAATAAATTCCTATGGAAAGCATTAGAAATGACATGCTTTAAAAATTTAAAACCTGGCAAAACTATGAAGGATATTTTAAGGTTCATTTTGCCAAGTTGAGGAATTTGACAGCTTCATGACATATGGCCAATCCAACACTCATTTGGATTAATCCATTTTCAAAGGTAATGCCATTACTGACTTAACAGGCAGAAATTAACTTCTTATTTTGGGCAAGACCTTTATCCCAATTTCTTCATTTATGGAGTAAGGATAGCAATAACAATACTAGGCACCAAGTTTGTTTTGAGTATCAAAAAGATAGTATAGAAATGAGAAGCTTCCTAAACTGCAAAGTAGCATGAAAATCCCAGCCATCTGAGTCCTAGTTAAAAAATATAAAAATGTTTATTGGGTATCAAGTAAGAGCCCTTTTACAGCTTACTGCAAAATCTTGAAATTGAACTGGATAGCTATGATTCCAATATTCTCAGGAAGTTTGCTAATTTTGTAGTTAACCATTTCCTTAAAGTATTAATAAACCTCCACTGTAGCTGGTGGTCTTCTTGAAAGCATACTGTATTTAACTTTAATGTAGTCTCATATATTTTAAAGAGTAACCTCTTTCTAGGTGGATAAAACTTGCAGGAGCAGTTGTGTTTCCTGTTTTATGTTTTAATTTTTGTTTAATATTGTGAGTCAAGATACAGATATCTTTTCATACTTTACACACATATTGCAATATATGCAAACCTCTCAGTACCGAGAACACGATAACTAATTTTAAAGTAATCAAACTGTCATTAAAATTTGGGCAACATTCTCTTCAAGCCATTCTTTACTAAGACAGTGAAACAGGGCTCAAACTCAGAGGCCCTTAGATGGGAGCTGGACATGAAAGTGTCAAAATTTCTATTTTCTCATTGTAGACTGAAGATGACATTTCATGAGACTATTCTGTTGATTAAATTTTATATATATCCTGTTTCTAATATAATCTCATTTATGTGATCAAAAAAAAAAATACAAGCAGTGTTTTAGGGTTTCATTTTTCCCCATCTTTACAATGTAATTAAGACTTTGAAGTCTCCCTTAAGTCTTTCTACTTCACAAATAAATTGCATATAAAACTGCTTTTATTTTTTCCTAACTAGGAATTTTTTAAAACTACCTGCTTTCTTTCTTTATTTTTAAAACCTTCCTTAACCATTTCATTTATACTTACAAGACTCATATCTGTGTTTTTTGTATTATTTTCTTTTTACTAAAATATATTCATTTCCCAGATCAAAAGATACAGTCAAACTTTGCCTCTATTTTTTTAGGTACAGTGAGACACTTCCTAAATATGACTGCCTGTGCTATAAAGCAATAATAGGATTCTAATACAAATCATTCATCTCAAGGGGATAATATAGTATTAAATTACAAACTAATCTCAGCTACATCTTTCAGAATTCAAAAATTTTAATTCAGTTTAAAATAAATGGCCACACCTTACATTTAGTTCAAAATAATATTTTTCTTATTTGATGAATTTTTTCATTTTGTTATTTCATATATTTGAATAATGAAAAAATCAATCCCTAGCTTTGCAGGTTTTTTTCCCTTCAATTTTCTTTTCTTTTTTTTTTTTTTTTTTTGAAGATTTACTTATTTATGCATACATGAACTGGGGTATAGGCCAGAGGTGCAGAGGGTGAGAGGACTCACCAGAGACAGAGACAGAGTGGGAAGCAGAACAGGCAGATCTACTGAAATACACTACTGAGGGCAGCAGCAGGCAGGATAGGAGAGGTCTGCTGTGCGGTGTGGGTATCTCCCTGGCCAGGGAGGAAACTCATGTTGCAGTAGCTGGTGATAACTTCATAACACTGTGTCTTTAACCCCTACACCGCCAGCAAGGCCCCCCTTCAATTTTCTAATGGTGCAGTCTAACTAAATGTAACAACAAATAGTAATAAATACTAAATGGGAGTCAAGCTATCTAGGTACTTGTCCTTGACTTGCCAGTGATGTGAGACCACAGTTCTCTGAGACTCAATTTCTTTTATCTACAATGAAGGGGGCAGGAGAAAATTGTTTTTTAAGGCCCCATATGCAGATGATGAGAATTTATTTTTCAGGTCACATATGTACAGAATTATAAGGAAAAGTGAAAAGAAAAGAAAAAACCCCATAAGAGTACAATAGACTATGGGCAAAAAAAAATATACCTGCAATTTCTTCTAAACTGTTGGCATGCATATCCAGCAGCACGGTTCCATTTAGAATGCAACTTCTCAACTCAAACAAGCTGTGCAACGAAAGAGTGGCCACGTAAGGCTTGCTCCACCTTTCTCCTCCATCTTCCACATCTTCTTCAAATTTCAACCACCTACACAAATAGTTTTTTCAGTACATTAAATATTATATTATAGATGGAAGAGCCTTTATTCCAATAATAAGAGGTAGAAACAGATAAATATTCATATAAGTTCTTTGTTTCAAGGGTTTTAGAAGTATGTAAGAGCTAATGCAAGGCCATCTATCCAGATACAACTGCAAGTTCTTCTAAGGAGTTCATGCCCATTTTCCTGCATAACATAATTGTTTCAGTTGAATTTATGGACTTTTTCAACTTATGCTGGTGTTATTTTGACAGATAAACCTTGCTAAATTTGAAACCTAGTTTCTAGTTATTGAGTGGTAAAGAAGACTTAAATTATATAAGAGTATGATGGTATTTGGGGGACTATAAATTACTTGTACTGGATATATAATACTTTCTGTCATATATATGAATATATTTAATTTTTACTGATTTTTATGCACTACTAAAACATGTTTTTTCTTAACTACTTAAGTATAAATCTGTAAATTGACACCCACACTATTATTATTGTTTATTATTATAACATTAATAATAATTTTTTAAAATACTCCCATGGATTTCTTGAGCTACATAAGATGATCACTTTATTATACAAAAATCTATAGTTAAATTTTATTTCCAGATAATAGTAAAAAATATTGAATAAGAAAGCATATACATTTTATTTTCGCTCCTTTGGAAGTAAAAATTTACATTTTAAGAACCATGAGAAGATGTGGTATATTTGTGAGTGTGTGTTTAGTTCTATGTACTGTTATTTATACTAGCATAATTCAGCAATCAAGTAATCACCACCAAAATAAAGATATAAAACTCTTCTATCATTACAAAGAAACTCCATGGTACACCTTTATAATCTCAATCCTTATCTTGTTTCTGTTCTATGGCAATCACAAATCTGCTCTTCATAACTATAATCTGATATCTGACGATATTATTTTTTTATGAAATTGACATTTTTCACTAAGCAGAATGAGCTTAAAATTCTTCCAAGTTGCTACATATAACAACAGTATGTTCTGTTTTATTGTTGACTCAAATTTCATTGTATGGATGTACCAGAACTTCTATACCATTCACCCATTGAAAGATATTTGGGTTTTTGACAGGTTTTTCCCATTACAACTCAAGCTGCTATGAATAGTCATGTATAGGTTTTCATATGAACATAATTTTTCCTTCTTCTGTGATAAATGCCTATGACTAAAATTACTAGATCATACTGTAAATGAATGTGTAGTTTTGTAAGATACTGACAATTGTTTTCTAGATTAACTGTACCTTTTTACATTCACACCACAATGGATGAGTAAGTAACCCAGCATCCTGCATTCTTACCAGTGATTGCTATTATACGGACTAGTTTTAAAATTTTAGCTATTGTATTAACTGTGCAGGAAGTGTTATATGTTACACTGATACGCATTTCCTTAACGATCAGTGATGCTAAACATCTTTTTAAGTGTTTATTTGCCATGTATCTCTCCTCTTTAGTGAAATGTCTACTTGTATTTTTTTCCAATTTTTCTAAGCAATTTGTTGTTTTCATATTATTGAACTTTGAGAATTCCTTGTAAGTTCTAGATATATATTTGTGCCAGATATATTATATGCAAATATTTATTCCCTGTCTGTAGTGTGTCTTTTTGTCCTCTTAACAAACTCTTCATAGTACAAAGAATTTTTTTAATTATAATTACAATTTTTAATTTTATTGAAACTTTTTCCATTTCTTTTAAATTGAAGTATCATTGCACTACTATATATGTTTCAGGGATGCACCATTAAAAAGGGATTGGGGTCAAAATAAGGGGGTTGTAATTGTATGGGGAATATAAAAATTAAATTTAAATAAAAAAAATAAAGATCAATACACTGAAAAAAAAAGTATCTGTATATGCTATATAACTTCATAACTAGAAGTCCAGTTTTATCCTTTAATATGAAATTATCCCTTTTTCTCTTCTTGTAACTACTAATTGATCTTAAAGTCTAAAATTTTATGTTCATTTTATTTAATTCATCCATTTGTTTGGAGAAAGACAAACACTTCATGATTTCATTTATGTGGTATATAGAGATGCACAAAACTTTTTAATTTAAGGGCAGAGCAACTTGTGACTCTTTTCTTTTATGGATTGCTTCTTCCATCATGTCTCAAACTCATCTTCTAGACCTTGGTCCTGAAGATTTTCTCTAAAACTTTTATAACTTTCTGTTTTATATTTAGATTTGTAATTTATCTTGAATTATTTTTTGCATAAATTGTACAGTTTTGGTTGCATTAGCATTTTTTACCTGTTGGTATGGAATTGTTCCATAACATTTGTTGAAAAGACAACTCCTCCTCTAAACCACTTAGCTATACTTGTGTTGGTCTTCATCAGTTCTTGAGTCTTTTCCATTGATCTATGTGCTAATATGAAAAGATACTTTATAAACAAATCTAAAAGGTATATTTCTTCCTTTAGAATGGCTTCCTTCAAAAAAGGAGACTGGTATTTTGGAAAATATAAAAAATGTCTCTGGGAGTTCCAGGCCATTATAAGTTGCATGCATAGAAGGTCTGGCATAGCCAAGTTTTTAGAAGTATCACATGAGAAGGCAAAAGACATTTTATCAAAGGAAAACCACAAGTTATAACATTAAGTTACTAAATATTTCAAGATACAGTACTTTATATCAGCTGCTCAATGATGCTAAAAGAATCATATTTAAATGAATATTTTAAAAACTACATTAAAATGTTACATATAAAATATATAAGCATATCTCTATTTTCTGGTTTTCATTTTATTTTTAAACTTCAAAGATAGGAATTAACAGATCTGGAAACACACCAAATCCTGTTTCTAGATTTGTAGTCACTGAATATACTGACAGTTGCAAAATGTCTGATTGCAGTTAATGACCTAAAGTGCTGCAATTTACTCCAGTTTTCAAATAAACTCAGCTGACATTTGTTTGAATAGCAAACCAAAGCAAACAAGACTCTCACAGGCATGAATGAGATGTGATGGACAATGAAAAAATATTGTAGGCCAATTGCATAACATTTTCTATGGGGGGGAGGGGGTGGATTTAAGCACTGAGGAGATTATTTTTATTTCATACAATATGCCTGGATCTGCTTTTATCCAAGATTAACCCACTAGAATCTCTCTCTCTCTCTCTCTACTAAACAACATTAATAACATAAAATAGGTGTTTATGTATTCTTTGAGGATTAGGTTGATTATTATCTCCTCTACAGAATGCATATTAAAAATCTACAAAATAAACTTCTTTTGCAAGTTACAAATAGATGTCTTCCACAAAATTTAACTTTCTATTAATTATGTTCCCACTAATTCAGTTTGACATTTTGAAGAATTTCTATTCTGATTCTATCCAAATAGAAAGTGAAAGGGTTACCAAATTATTACCTTGAAGGAATTAATGGACTATCAAGAGAAAATATCCCCTTTTGGGTGGATATAAAGAGTGCAGGGGTGAGGACATGGTTAAGGTAGGAGCTAGAGAATTACATGCAAAATTGTAAAGGGTAAAAAGGAAATGAAATATATCCAAATGTAGAGTTTATAGGCATTAACTACTCTTAATCCATATTATCTTTACATCTCATATTGCAATGAAAAACCTTCATGGTTTGTACCTTTACTAATTTTGAATATTAAATGCTTTCACAGCATAAATAAAATTGTTTTGATGTAATAATCCTTTTCCACACTACCATGTATGTATCAGAGGCCTAACTGCTACCCCCTGCTTTGAGTCTTCTGAGCTCATTTGTGGGAAGCATTTTTAAAGGGCAACGACAGTGAGTCAAGCATGTTGTCTCCATAAATGCACAGCTGTGGGATCTTTGTGCACATTTCTATTAATAACGTTATATGTTATTTATAAGTAGGACACTGTAGTGTGTTGATTTCATTAGCCCTTGTCATATGGCTTCTTTTTAGGTTTTCAAAAGTGAACAGCTGGTTTTCACAAACATTTATTAAATAATTATGATTCAAAAATTTAGCTTTAAAATCTAAAACTTTGCTTAAGTTTTACTTGGCAACAACAGTAGGCATGAATTATTCAAAATGTGATATGTGACAGGTGCAATGTGCTGATAAAATATCCTTTTTAATTTCTACTATTAGGGTAGAAAATAATTAATTCCCCTTGGAATACAAATAAAAAACAAGAAATGCTTCAAATGGTTATGTTAATGATTTATTAGAATTAAGTTGCATTTCAAAAATCAGATGGAATTATGAATTAACTGAAATTAACCTTTTTAAATGAACGAGGGCAAGCAGAACAAAATTACTTCTGCCACTTTAAAACCTACTACATTTCTAAGTCCTTGATAAATACATTCTGTTCTTCCCTGACGTATTGTGTCTCAGCCAAAATTCATCTACCCTCCTCTTCAATGTCTGTTACTATTTTGATTGCTCATCAGATGTCTCCCTGAACCTAAAACAGCTGCACCATGCATAAGGCTCCAGAAACATGGCTAAGAACACAATTGTAACTAATAAAATTAGAAAATACTAATGATTAACTGAATCACCTCTTTTATTCTTTATAATTAAGCAGCAACTCATTTTGGTGTTTTAGGATAAACATGCTGTTCTACTTAACTTACTAGAGCATGGTAAAATCCTACCTGTTCAAGAGCAACAGAATGAAAGCACTAAATCCTAGTACTGCTCTGCCACCTCCCACCTTCATGAGTGGGCAAGTTACTAGGAAGTTACTGGTTACAAAGAATAGATCACATTTGACTTGGAGGTGAAAATCATCAACCATTTTAAGAATAAGGGAGTTATTTATGCCAACACATATGTTATATTTTAAAAGCAAATATATATACATACATGTACATGTGTGTATATATATGTATTCCAATCTTCTCAATTTTATTATATGTGATGAAAGTAAAGAAAGAAATATAAAAGAAGGGCCTCCCAAAAGTACTCCTCACGGGCCTCCCCGGTGGCGCAGTGGTTGAGCGCTGGGCTGCGAAGCTGCCGGCGGCCTCTGGGCGTGGCCGCCGGTCGATCCCGGCTGCTCCCCGGCCACCTGAGGAGGGTCCCACATGGCGCGCAGACCTCTCCTGCCGCCCGCTGCTTCCCTCAGCAGTGTCCTTCGTCCTTCTGCCTGCTCTGCTCCCGCTCTGGCTCTGGTGAATTCTCTCACCCCCCGCGCTTCTGACTGTACCCAGTGTGTGTATAAACAAAACAAACAAATAAATAAATAAAAAAAAATGCCTCTAAAATTGAAGCTTTAAAAAAAAAAAAAAAAAAAAAAAAAAGCTCCTCACAACAAATTAAAGAGACTTTAAGTAACTGGAGAAGTTGTCGAGTCATCATAAGCACCTGCTCACCTCCCTCCAAGTCATCCAAGAATATGCCTTTCTTATAATCAGTTGAAGACAGATGCTTTTAGTCTTAAATAGGGAGGTTTGCACTTTAAGTGTCTTATCAACAACTCTTTAATCGTGAAAGAGCAAAAGTTATATCACTTGTTTGGAAAGATAAATATGTTGTTTTTCTGTCATCAAATGAAGATGAGCATATATATATGTATGTATGTATGTATGCATGTGTTGTGTATTTTTAAAACTCCATAATAGTTGGCTTTTGAGGCAGTAGAATAAAACAAGTAAGGTAAACGATTCTGATTTTAAATTTAACAGGTCATATATAAAAATGATTTCACTTTTAGTTCTACATACTAGATGGTGACTGAACACTTAATAGTGGGCACTGAATGATATTTATAGTTTGGCTGAGGGGCGAGACTTATACCATGTTGTGAAGTCGTGTTACTTCAATGAAAAGAAAAACAAGTAACAGGAAGCATCATAAGGAAATTATGTAAATTTTTCATTTTAAAAGGTAACTTGCACATTCCACCAGCTTAAGGTATTAAAAAATTACAAATAAACAACATAATAAAATATTTGACATAAAACCAGAATAGGAAATGACAGATCACAGGGGAAACATAAAAGCACAGAAAAATGTCCAGTCTCACTAATAATTAAAGAAATGTAAATTAAAACAATAAGATTTATTTTATGTATAAAATTAGGAAAAAGTTTGATGATTAAGTGAGGTTTGGGGAAAATAAGCACTCTCATACACTGCTGGTTAAGTGTAAATTACTAAAACATTTTTGGAAGGCAAATTTCAGTATCTATCATGGTTTAAGAAAGGATGCTTCTTTGAGACATAAGTCCCATTGTTAGAATTCATCCTACTTAAATGCCACAAAATAATGCCAAAACAGAAGTAAAGATGACTGCAAAAAAATTTTTAGTAAAACAAAGAACCAAAAAAACTTAAATTCCCATCCTGACTGGCTAAATAGTGTCCATATAGTTAAATATAATTTAGTCATTTAAAAGGTTGAGTAAAATGTAATGATGAATGGAAAATGGTCCAAACATGTTATTAAGTGAAGAAAATATGGCACAAACACTGTAAAATCCCTATTGTGTAAATAAAAATGGTCATGCAACTCCATGCAGATATAGGCATTAAAAGTTTCACAAAAAGTTAAACAAGAAACTAACAATTACTAATTTGGAAGAGAGGTATTATGACCAAGAATAGGGGATTAATTTTGCTTTCTACTTTTACTCTACTTTTTAAATTTTAAATATCAGCGTTTTTCTTTAATGTTAACAGAGATGAACTAGTTGATAAAGATTTTCATTTTTTCTGTTTACTTTTAGCATTTTTTTTTTTTTTTGTTTTTTTTTTTTAATAGAAGCATGTTTTTATTTATTTATTTGTTTGTTTGTTCGTTCGTTTTGTTTATACATGCACTGGGTACAGTCAGAAGCGCGGGAGGGTGAGAGAATTCACCAGAGCCAGAGCTGGGAGCAGAGCAGGCAGAAGACCGAGGTACACTGCTGAGGGGAGCAGCGGCGGCAGGAGAGGTCTGCGCGCCATGTGGACCTCCTCCGGTGGCCGGGGAGCAGCCGGGGATCGAACCGGCGCCGCAGAGGTCGCCGGCAGCTCCGCAACCCAGCGCTCAACCGCTGCGCCACCGGGGAGGCCCACTTTTAGCATTTTTTAAATAAAAGAGGCTGTAAAGATTGCTCAAAATGTATCAAACAAGATTTAACTGGGCCAGTATTATTTATTTTTTAAGATTTATTTTTATTCATACAAAAACTGGGGTACAGGCCAGAAATGCAGGGGGTGAGAAGATTCACCAGAAACAGAGCAGGGAGCAGAACAGGCAGACTGACTGAAATACACTGCTGAGGGGAGCAGCTGGGGATATAGGAGAGGTCTGCCATGCCATGTGGGCATCTTCCTGGCCGCCCGGGAATTGAACCTGCACTGCAGAGGCTGCAGACAGCTCTCAGCACTGCGCTCAACCTGCTGTGCCACTGGGGAGGCCCCTGGGCCAGTATTATTTATAATATTGTCATGAGTGCACACTTAATTCCACACTAACTTCTGGTAGAATTAAGCCAGAGAATAAATGCAGCACAAGTTTATATGATCTGGTTAAGTGCTGTGGTTTTTCAGAAGATTGTGGAACTGAAAGGCCACTAACATGTTCAACACAAAGAATTTCTAACAATAGAACCATGTGACCACAGCAGGTAGAACCTCACAAAAACAGTCAACACTGTGTCAACAGATGTGCTTGAGCATCCTGCTTCCTCTGCCTAGAACACCCACCTCTGCTTTCCTTCCTAGCTACTTCAATTCAGACTTCACTATGCTGGTAGAGCATGGGTGCTTTGCTGGCAGGTGTGCTCTGGTAACTACACCTAAAGGGGGGGATCCTATACTTCCAAGTTACTAATGACAATGTAAACCAATGTTACCTCAATAAATAGATAAATCAATTAAAAAAAATAAACAGCTCAAGAATCACATCATCTAATCAAGAAGGGAGATGCTATCATGATCCCTGTTTCCTTACCTTGTGGTTTAGATCTTTGCTACATGAAATGTGATCTTATGTTCAGAAACATTGGTGTGATGTTACCTGCAAGTTTGCTGAATATGCAGGTTCTGAGACTCTAGGCCTGAGAACCACCAAACCCAATTTCAAACAGATCTTTAGTGATTTAGCATCACATTGACATTTAGGAACAGTGGGTAAAGATAACACTAGGTCTGCCCACATTCCTGCCCACATGGTATCACAGCATTCCTCATATAGTATTTACAACTTGTATACTTGTCTAAGTCCCAGGTTAGACTGTGAGATTGTTAAGGACAAGATCTGAACTTTTTGTTGCTGTTGTCCCATGGTGCATTGACATATTAATGAATGAGAAGTAAATTCAAATTTTAGTTTCTTTTGTACTTCATCAGTTATATAGCAATGTAGAAATAGTAACTACAAATGACAGGAAAAGTAACTTTTCAAAAGTTATTTTGAAAAACCACTATTGTTTAAATGTATACATACCCTAGAAACATATACAAAATATTTTTATCCTCACCAA